TAATAAAGTAGTAAACCCCTTGACTTATAGGACTAGAATTAGATAGCTATTCCTTATATGCTTCTAGGAAATTAGAATGCTAATCTTTAATTCAGTCTTTTCTTTGCCTTCAAATTTCCAGTAACTGATACTCACAATAACTCCTAAATAACTCTTTAAAGATGATGTGTTAAATTGCATATGTTTGTACTTCTCTAAGCATACCATATTAAAGGATATATTAATTTTTTTTTTTTTAGGTCAAAATTAGTTTACATCAAAAGTTTGGCAAGTAGACTCTTTAGTTTGGTTTTGGTGTTATGCTTCTTAATAGCTAGTATTGAAAAAAACAGGAAGTGTAGGTAATTTTACCCTTTCATAAAGGTTTAAATAAATGATATCACAGAGGCCACTTCCTATCTTGCAAGCAAAAGTTGGTTTGGGAATTATTTATGCTAGTTTCTTGAATTTAAGAAGTTGTCGTGTAGCCTTGTAGATCAAACTGGACAATATGTCCAACTTGTTTTTGACATTTCTGTCAATGCTGTTAGACATCCTAACTCTCCTAGATTAAAAGAAAAGAAAGTATAGGTGAGGAACTCTTACCTGAGTCTTGGGCTCTACTGGCATGGGGGAGAAATTCTGCATTGGCAGGGCACAAGAGAACATGGACAAGCCAGATGACAGTGCAGAGGAGCCACAAAGTTTATGAAAGTGAGCAAAGAGCTGTCCCTACCACGGTCACTGGACAACAGATTTTTTCAGTATGTAAAGTATTTCTTGTCCGCAGTTAGAAATCGGCTGTTGAGGAATTTTTTTTTTTGAGTAAATGTAGGTGCTTTTTCTTATAGTGTATATTAGTGTGAAAGTTGAATTTACCTGTAACAAGATAGTCTAGTTTGGGTCTATTTCACAATTAAGGGAGCTATATTATTTAATCTCTATTATTTGACTTTTTGGCATCCTGGTGTGGCATTGTAGTATAATCACTGGATTGTTAACTGCAAGATTGGTAGTTGAAATCCACCAGCTGCTCCATGGAAACCTTATATTGTTAGGTGCTGTTGAGTCAATTCTGACCCATAGCAAGTCTATGCACAACAGAATGAAACATACCAGGTCATGTGCCATCCTCACAATCACTGTTACACTTGAACTCATTGCTGTTACCCTTGTGTCAATCCATATCCTTGGGGTCGTTCTCTTAATTGCTGACTCTCCACTTTTCTCAGCATGATGTTCTTCTCCAGGGAATGGTCCTTCCTAATACTATGTCTGAAATATGAGAGATGAAGTCTGGCCATCCTGGCTTCTAAGGAGCATTCTGTCTGGATATATTCCAACACAGATTTGTTTGTTCTTCTGACAGTCCATGGTACTTTTAATATATACATGACCCAAGTGAGGACCCTTAGTCATCTTTTCTCTTGAACACTTTTAAAGAGGCTTTCTGCAGCAGATTTACCCAATGCATTATATCATTTGACTTCTTGACTGCTGTTTCCGTGAGTGTTGATGGTTGATCTGGATAAAATGAAGTCTTTGACAACTTCAAATTTTTCTCCGTTTATATGGCTGTTGTAAATTGGTCCAGTGGTGAGGACCAATTTATATGGCTGTTGTAAATTGGTCCAGTGTTTCCTTTACATTGAGATACAACCCATACCAAAGGCTGTAGTGTTTGATCTTCATTAGTATTATAAATTCTCTTCACTTTCATCAAGCAAGGTCATATCATCTGCATTATCTCAGGTTGTTAATGAGTCTGCCTCCAACCCTGATGCCATATTCTCCTTCATATAATCCACCTTCTCGGATCATTCTTAGCATACAGATTGAATAAGCATGGTGAAAGAATTCAAGCCTGATATACACCGTCTCTCATTTTAAATCATACAGTGTCCCCTTGTTCTGTCTAAACAACTACCTCTTAGTCTATGTGCAGTTTCCTCAAGAGCACAACTAAGTGTACTGGAATACCAATTATTTGTAAAGTTTCCCATAGATTTTCATGATCTACATAGTCAAAAGCCTTTGCATAGTCAATAAAGCTCAGATAAACATCTTTCTGGTATTCCCTGCTTTCAGTCAAGATTCACATCCTCATCTGAATCTGGCTTGAGCCTATGGCAGCTCCCTGTCAATGTACTGTTGCAACTGTTTTTTAAATTATTTTTAGCAAACTTCTATTTGCATGTTATATTAATGATATTGTCTGATGATTTCTGTTGGGTCACCTCTCTTTGGAATGGGCACAAATATGGATCTCTTCCAGTTAGTTGGTCAAGTAGCTGTCTTCCAAATTTCTAGGCATAGATGAGTGAGTGTCTCCATTGTTGCATCATAAGCCGTATCAAATTCAAAATGGCCAATACCAGTCCATGTCGATCACCAATGCCTAGGATATCACTCTTTAAGCATTCCGTTTAATTTTTGACAACTTATATTCTTAGATTCATACTTCATATATCCCATGTTCTGATTATTAATGGATGTTAACAGCTGTTTTTCTTCATTTTAACTTGTGCCCCATCAGCAAATGTAGGTCCTCAAAGCTTTACTCCATTTGCATTATCATGGTCAACTTTGCTTTGAGGTAGCAGCTATTCCTCAGTGTATTCTGAGTGCCTTCCAACCTGAGGGGCTCATCTTTTGGCACTATATCTGACAATATTCTGGTGCTATTCATCATGTTTCAATATTCAATATTCTGGTGCTATCTGACAGTTTTCAGCTGCTATTCATAAGGTTTTCTGTGGCTAAAGATTCAAACAGTGCACCTCTCCTTATTCCTAACCTGTCTTAGTCTGGAAGCTCATTTAAAACTTGTCCACCATGAGTGACCTTGCTGATATTTAAAATATCAGTGGCATAACTTCTAGCATCACAGCTACATGGAAGACACCACAGTATGACAAACTGACAGATAAGTGATGTTGGAAACCCTATACAAGGTTGCTGTGAGTCAGAACTAACTCTATGGCACTTAACAATTAACAACAGCGATTTCACTTTTTATCACCATTTTCCATTTTTGTTTTTGCTCACTTTCAGTTCTTTCTACAGAGGTTATTTATCCACCTTGTTTGTGTTGGTGAAAAATTGGTTAAATAGTGAAACATCCACTAATAAGAATGCTTATGATTTTTTGTGTATAGAAAATTGTAAAATGCAAATGATACTCTGAAGTATTTGGCTGATCCTCTCTGTTAGCCATCTCTGCCACTCTACTATTAAATGATCAGTAATAGGTGACTATTCTATTTTTAAAGTATTCTAGGAGAGGTGCTTTAGTGCCTTTTTAATTTATTTATTTAGGTTTCTTCCATGAGGCCAGAATATTATATCGTAACACTGGGAAATAAATAGAAATAAAAAAATGATTAGAAGGCAGCACCCCAAGATACAAAAGGAGGTGATTTGGAATTATTTATACAGAAAGTAATT